TCTGTGTGACATGAAAATTTGGTCCAAAATTAAGGAATTCCATTTCATTTGGAGTGAGTTGCTAATCCAATACATTAATGAAGTTAATATATATGTTTAAATATATATATATATATATATATATATATGTTTAAATACACACACACGCACACACACATATGGATAAAAAGCGGCAAGAGAAAGAACTATATTTATTTTGTCTCTTCTACAGATACACTATCTGAGAATATTTACATATATATAATTTGTTAAGGGTTTTTAAAAGGTAATATACGGGTGTAGGTATTTGTGAAATGATAGGTCGGAGGGGATGGTCCTTTTTATGGATTTTTACATTTCCATAAAGGTAGCCAGGTTGATAATCATCTATAATCTTTTGAAGTTTATCGGATCCTGTGTCAGCATTGTTATTGATATGGTTTTTAAGTTAAAGGGTGGTGTTATTGGTTAACTTTTAAATAATTTATTATGATCGCCTAAAATAGCCTGTAATTTTAAATTGGTACTCATGTTTGTTTAAAATAACGAAAGTAAGAGTTTTATCAGCTCATCAGGTAACAATACTGTTGTTATTTTTCAGTTGTGTGGCTGTTTTTATTTAAGGAGTGTTTATAATTCTATTCGGATTTTTATGATAATGATTTTTAATAGATTCGGCTTTAAGTAATTCTTTTAAACCTACTTGTGTAGTAATATGATTGTCTTGTTCCAATAGAAGTATTTGTTGGTATAAAGCTTCAATTTGCATTTGTTTAAACATTAACTTAAGTTTCTGTGTGACATGAAAATATGGTCCAAGATTAAGGAATTCTATTTAATTTAGAGTGAGTTGGTAATCTGATAGGTTAATGAAGTTGTCGTTGATGTTTGGTAAAAGTATTTTTCTTTATATAATTTGTTTAGCTTTTTTTGGATGAGTTGTTTATGGGGTTCATTTTCCTTTTGTGTTGTATTTTGTAATAAATCCAATATTTCCTTGAATTTTCAGAGGTGGTAGAAGACTGCCAGATTCTTTTAATAAGTACAATTTCAATGTTGAACCGTTATAATTCTTGTATGGATATGTTTATTTGTCGTTTAATAAGGTTCCATCAAAATTTTCTTGCTGTTAGGATCATTTAATACTGCGTATCGTGTAACTTGAATTTAGTGTATAGGGGAAGCAGATCATTGTTCAAACATATATTTTTAAATATAACAGACAACGAATGCCTGTTATGTTTGTTCTTGAGCCATTCTAAACTTCGCATATTTGCTTTAATTTCTGGAAAAAATAAAGACAAAAATTGTTCAACATTTGGATATTTTTTATTATGCTGTTTCTTGGTCTGAGCTTTCGGCTTACATGAGCCATCTTCAGAGTGGTTATGCGGACATCTAAACAAAGATATTCACCATAAACATGGCATTCTGTTATGCTGACATTGAAGATTGTTATGCGACGATAACGGTCGCGGAATAGCAGACGCAGGTCGTAAATTCATGATGCGGTTCTATGACGTCGTTACACGCGAAAGAACGAAATATTGACAACAATAACAACTGCAGTAGATGCAGCAATTGATTCGATGTAGTCTCACCACTTCAAGTCAGGGAAATTCAAGTCAAGGAAATCTTGTTAGAAATATATGCGCCCTCCATCAGTATTTGAACCTGCGTCGCCTAGAGAAACCGTCATTAGATCTGACGTGACTTGACCTCTCGGCCACGTAGGACCACCTGATCGAACAAAGCCCGAATAGTGTTTTTTGAACACGCATCTTTCCCGATTCTCGAAATATACATATATACTCTGTTTTGTATCCTAACGTAAACAAAGTCAATTTTATTTTTAAGAAATTGTTTAAATTTGACATATCCATTTCCTAACACACACACGCACACACACATAAATATATATATATATATATATATATATATATATATATATATATATTAAATATATATATATATCAGACAAAAAGTACTAAGATTTACTAAGTTCTTTATTCTTTTTCCTTGTGTTCGAAATAGTGTTTTCTTTTTTGGACACAGAGTGTGTAGTAACTGCCCAAATGTTCTATAATTCCGCGTGCTTTCGGCTGCACTTTTAGCCAGTATCAAGGATGACTTTATTTTTGCTTTTTAATTGGGTGTATGTGTTGTGTGCATGTGCATCTAGTCTTATAGGGATGTTTTATTTTCCAAACATTTATCCGACGATAATTCCATTTGAATTCATTTAAACACACACACACAAACATACCAGACTCCATCCGAAACATCCTAGTAGAAAATACAATCACAATAACCTTATCAACATATAAAAAATGATTAAAAATAATGAAAGCCTTAATAATAAAAAAGAAAAGAAAAAGCCAACAATTAATAATATTAACTAGGAACACGCGAAAATAAAACATCCCTATAACTTTAGAAACATACACACAACCCATACACCCAAGTAAAAAGCAAAAATAAAATCATCCTCTGATAATGGCTGAAAGTATAGCCGAAAGTG